ATATTTCCCAACTTTAAAATAAGCACCTCTATGGCATGTTTACCATTAAAAAAGAAAAAAAAAATATTGAGCATCTGATTTTCCACATTTCATTACTAATAATCACAATAAATGATAGTGTCAAGGAAAAAATCCATAGAAACAAAATATTTCCCCATGACTATCCCCATCAATATGAGCTGCACGTAGTGCTGTCACAACCTAATGACTAACCCCATTATATTGCAGCTCAAGATGAAAAGCATGACCATGACATATTATAGAACTGATTATGCAGATATGTTCGATCTCTATGACCCAAAAGAGGAAAATTTGCACTTAGAGCTACAGCTAAAATATTTCCTCAGATATAATCACAACCAAATATAAAGTTTCCCTATCAGTTGAATTCGCATGCAATTCTTCAAGAGAACAGCATTTTGCTGGGCCACTATAGCATTGCAAAAGCGAGAAACAATTCAAGGTGATTCTTACTTAGGAAGTCTGGCAAAGAGAAGGTTGGTCAACACATCAAGCATCACTTGGAATTGTCTGGATGTCATTGCCGCAGTAATATTATGAGAATTGAAAATAAGCTCTTTCAAGGGCTTCACCTGTGACATATATAAGCAACTATCATCATAAAGCTCCACGTACCATTTTCGTTACTGATATTGAGGATGATACAAGTTTCATTTGGCAAAAGAGCACATGTGCAGCTTAAAACTTAAGGTCATACCTTTAAATCAGATGTTCCTCCTTTATGCCTTGTGTATCTGAAGTACATGTCACATGGCATAAAAACCCTTTCCAATAAAGCTCCAGTACGCTTCACTTTTGGTGAGCTCCGACGAATCTTAGGAAGCCACTGCAATCCAGCCCCTGGATCCACATCTGTTGGAGCTACATGAGCTTGGACATGCTCCAACATAACAGAGAACTCCATGCGGTTCCATGTCATTTCAGGCTGAGTTTCAGGTACTTGGATCCTCTCTCCACCAAGTGCTTGTTCAATCACCTCATAGCCGACATGAAGAACTGAATGAAATGACCGCGCTAAAACACGACCGCTCACAGCAGCGAGCAAGAACCTACCCTGCCAACAAGGTTTTATTGTAAGTAAGAACAAGAATAGTACAGTATTTATTAACTGGTGCTATTTGTCAACAACTTGATTGGATTCTTGTAAGCTGCTGCAGATCAAATAATCAGCTCAAAAGGGTTGAGAACAACATGCTAATAGAAAATAAATAAATAAATAAATAATAAAAAAAACAAGATGGAAAGGATCCCGATGCCTCACACTACACCACTAAATATCTCAACCTCAACAGTTATCCTCAAGCGCACTGTTTGTAACTACAACTGAAAATTTGATGATGAACTTTTTGAAATATATCTACCAGTTAAAGAGGGACAAATTTTTTAAGCTTCAAAATGGAACTAAAGTACATGATAACTTTGTAGCCAACTACAGTCAACTTATGGGAGAAGTCTACATATCATTCACACACCACCATATTCCAAGCAGGATATAAAGTGTTGCGGCACGATCCTATTTTGGGAATGGAAGCAGTGTCATACAGACAATTAACTTACGTATATTATATTTCTCATGTCAAAGGCGCCTTCAATTGCGAGGCAGAAATAATCATTAAGTTCATTGGTTTAAACCATCTACGTTATACATACTTGGATTCCTTGGAAGTGCAGGAGAGAATTTATTTAGCTGAATATCTAAACTTTATCTCATATCTAATGAAAAATAAAGGGTACAACATTTCTAGTCCTTTCATTTAAGTTTCTCCAGATAATTGCTGTCATCTGCACACAAGCACCAGAATGCTCAAAATTTCAGTAAGAATACATCCCTTTTGAGAACCACATTCTACAGCACACACAATCCACAAAATTCACCAGGAGGCCTATTGTCAAAGGTTCAAACGCAATCTCCGTGAACCTTTTGATTCTCAAGGTTTGTTTTCCAATAAATTTGGGATAGCTAGCATAAATGAAGTTCTAGCTTGAACTTACATTAGACTCCTCCGAATGAAGGTTGAACTGTGGCTCAATAACGTTCACCATGAAATGGCGTGTGCCCTCCTCCTCAGTGTCATCAATGTTCCCATATTTTGCTGCATAAGGGCACAAAAAAGCACATTGCATAAGGAAGAAGAGGTGCTCAATGTTTAAATATATGATATTTCAACAATTATGCTATGCTGATCCTGCATCCATGACTATCATATTTGCTCAGTCTACTGTAATATAAAAATTTTAGAACCACAGGAGAGGATAACCGGATAAATTAGCAAACTTATTCAAATGATATATCAGTTTCCACTTTCTTTTTTTAAGCATACATCTATGTAGGGTTTGGGTTTAAAAATTCTCAAACCACGCAGAAATGTGAAGATCTTTCATGATTATTAGAACATACAAAAGGAACAACAAATGCACAAGTGGATAAATGCACAAAGTGCTTACATGGATAGATATGAAGTCATTCATTGAAAAGAAATTGGTCATGATGCACACAAGCCATATGCACATGATTATGTGAAAATGTAAAGAGGCAGCTGGAATGCTTCTAAGCTTACCAATTGCACTAGTAATAGAATTCTCCATTGTCTCTGACTGGGAGGGAGAAGAAGGAGATTTTGAGATGTCCATGATCTGCGAAGAACTTGCACCAGCAGTGACAGATGAAGATATTTGCTCATCGTTACTTTTCTGGATATCAGGTTTATCAACAGCATTGTTCTCCTCATGCAGTTTTCT